GTATCGATATATCGATACTTAGGATCGATATGCCCATCCCTACAGCATAGTTTATATATTTGATTTTATCCGTATGAAATTATCTAAAAAGAAGTACATTTCATGGTTTTTGTTAGTATTTCTAAGGCCACGGAGCATAAGACGATGACAAGCATGTCATGAATATATTTATATTCTACACACGTGCATACCTACAGAATGCAGTTCAGAAGTTCGGACTCAGTTCATTTGTTCTCCCAAAAGGCCTCCACATGGTCAAGTGCATAGCAAATCACATTCAGCCACAAGATGGCAGAAGATTCCACAGTCTTGATGCTCTATTAGAAACCCATTTGAACAGTATGACTGTGAAAAGTGCCTTCATACCAGTGTGTGATAATGAGTAAATAATAAGGAGCTTGTAGCTGTTAGGCTATGACTCCAACTGTGATCTCAAATTGCTTCCCTCTGGGGTTCCACTTTAATTAATGTAATATTTAATTCATGAGATATTCTGCTGACTGCATCATTGTGTGAGGTCTGTCACACATGTGTGGTCATTTCTGCTAGTTAATTACGACCTTGTCTATAAATGTGTGTCTTGACTCATTTCCTGGAATTCAGAGGCAAGAAGGAACCAATTTATCTGGTTGGATAATCAAGTAACTTTTTGGTTATTCTGTTTTAAGTAGATATGGACCATGGAAAGCATTGTTTTCTATGGTGGACAATAAAATGGACATGGATCTAGCTACTTAATATCTGCTAGCATTTACATGTTATTAAATGTAATATTAAAAGTTATTCAGTCCTGATGTTACAAGAGAAAAAAAAATGAAAAAAAAAAATGAAACAAGTAGGCTTCACATATTCCACTGATGACAACCACATGGCACTAACTAAACATCAAGCCAAAAACATTTAATCTATACAGTAAACCTAGTTGCAAACTATCAAACAATTTCTATGAGGGCAAAATATTATTGCAAAAATCGAAATCTGACTCCCTGTGAGATGGTGACTCCCCTGCATCTCCCTGTGAGGGTTATCTGAAACACACTAATAATCTACACTGCAAACAACTACATCGCGTTTAATCTAACGTGACAAGCAGATAAGCCTTTATGAAATGAATGACCAGCATTTTTAAACAAACCATCTGCACAGCTTTCACCTTCAACTGCTGTTTGTGTACTGAACTCATCTTGAACTCAAATGTAACTTGAGTTCAAATTGCCCATCAATAACAGCGCCTATTAAGGTCACAGAATATGATGGTCACAGTGTTCTGATTTTGGTAATTTTTAATACTGTCTTGTCAGATTTGGTGACCCTGCAAAAAATAGAGAAGATTAGACATCACCAGAGTGAATTTGGGTGGCATTATAGCCGTTCGGTGTGAAACAGAGGAGGGTAATGGAGATTGGTATGTTCAATACTGCCTTGTCAGATTTAGTGACCCTGCTTATGTCTGTTGCTGTTCACATTAGACCAAAATGCTTTTTTAGGATATAAAATAAATGAGGTTAGATATCAACAGTGTGAGTTTAGGTAACATCAAACCATTCTGTGTGAAACAGAGAGGGGTAACGGATTTCAGTAATGTTTCATTTCCTTGTCGGATTTGGTGACCCTGCTGTATGTCTGTTACTGTTCACATCAGACCTAAATACTTTTCAGGAAATAGAGGCAAGATATCAACAGAGTGAATCTGGGTCAAATTAAAGCCATTCTGTGTGAAATAGATGTTCGTAATGGATTTTGGTAGTTGAGAATAAACTGTCTAATACAGTGGTTCCCAACCCTGGCCCTGGAGGCACCCCAACACTGCACGTTTTGCATGTCTCCTTAATCAAACACACCTGATTCAGGTCATCAGCTAATTAGTAGAGACGCCAAGACAGAGGTTCCCAAACTCAGTCCTGGTGGGCCGATGTCCTGCAGAGTTTAGCTCCAACCTGCCTCAACACACCTGCCTGGAGGTTTCTAGTACGCCTAGTAAGAGCTTGATTAGCTGGTTCAGGTGTGTCTAATTGGGGTTGGATCTAAACTCTGCAGGACACCAGCACTCCAGGACCGAGTTTGGGCACCCCTGCTCCAATACCTGAAATTAGTGCGGCAGAGAAAGGAGACATGCAAAATGTGCAGTGTTGGGGTGCCTCCAGGACCAGGGTTGGGAACTACTGGTCTAATATACAGTGTTGCCATGTATACTAGGACCAAAACCAAAGACATTTGACCATCTTATCCAAAGACACATCTACCTGACTCAAGACAATACAGGTGTAGTGACAGTAAATCATCCATCAAAATGATTGAGGTAAGAGGGAATCACAGAGCAGAGGTGAAATGATCTTGATACATACAGACAGCTTGTTTTCCCATTAGTCTGACAGATTCTGCTTGTTTTTGCTGAAAACATGGCAAAGCAATACATTTGTCAAAACTCCACCACGTGTGACATTGATTTTCGGTTGTCTTACATTTACAGTAGCTCTCCACCATTGGCCTGTCCTTCTCACTGACAGGTTTAGCATAATTGAGGGGGAAACTTTATGAACTCTCCCCCACTCAGTCAAGTATTAAACCAGGGTAAGGTTTGATGAACTGCTGTGATTATCAGTAACAGTTCATCTTCTCCAGGCAGGCATATGCATTCCTAAAACGACAGCAGCACGTGTGTGTGTGTGACGGTTTGCTGATAGTGCTAAATGGGAACAGCAGATCGTCAATAACTTCTGATCAGCCTTTACATCTTCCCGCAGCATGGATCCCTGCAGTTTTGCATTCCAGTGGCGAACGCTTCCGCACTGCATCACCCTGTAGGAAATTAACACCAGGCAATCCATCATTCCAAAAGAGAAAGATACACGCAGGTTAAAAATACACAGATCCTGCAGATCAGGAATGAAGTTTACGGAGTCTCTGTTAGAGCAGTTAAATAAAAGTGATTATGAAAAACAAACACACTAACAAAATCCCTCAAAATGAGCATGCATTTGAAAAATAGTTCCTTTAAATATAAATGTTGATATATCCTCAACAAACGAGTTTTTAAATGACAGTATTTATTTACAAACGCAGTGAAATATAATGGACATTTATCCATGTTATATAAAAGTTGTCAAAGATCATATCAGTCACAATATATTGTCAAACATACAATGATTAGCAAATACACAGTCCGTTTGAGATGTATATTATTGCAGCAGAGATATTGAAGGCAATAACAGGACATTAATGAAATGCATAATATAGAATAGGTTATTATAATAACACAATATACCAAAACACAACAACTTAAGCCACAGAGAAGACTGTACTTACACAAACACGATAAAAAAGCAACGATAAATGAGAGTAATACAGTAGAGTCCTTCTGAACACAAAAGTCAATAGGTCGTTTGACATATATTCCTTTTTAATATTACTGGCACCACTTTAAATGCAAAAGATGGCAATGCAGGTCAAAGGTCAGTCGTAGGAAAAATTAAGTAAAGTTAATTGTTCAGTCACGTCTCCTTGTATATGATATGCGTTTGGGAAGTGCACAGGATGTAGACTCTCTCTGAATCGGAGAATGAAATTCATGCCCATATATGTGGTGTTTATGGTTTCCTCTACTGTTGTTTTGTCTTCCACATGTTTAGTAAGGGTAGTGTTTCTGTTTCTTCCCTGCGAAACATGCCATCCACGTGCACAACAGCATGGCCACCACAGCTCCAGCCCCGGTGCAGTAATAAGCCCATCCGATCTCACAAGAACCTGAAGGAAACATCAACCTCAATATTTAATACTCAAAATGTATTATGTTCACTCAAAATATAATGTGAGGCACAATATATTGTTTACATTATATTTCCAATCTGCCTACCTATTTAAAAAAATAAAATAAAATGTTTACTCAACCATGGCACAGGACGATATTTTATTATTTGTTATATTTGTGATATTTTACGTTTAACTTTTATAAATAATATATATTTGATTAAAAAAAACTGTAAAACAGTGATTTGGAAATACTATTATTATTTAAATAATAATAAAAATAACTGCACATTGTATTACTATTTTATTAACAACAACAACTACAATAATAATAATAATGTTTTCTATTTGAATATATTTAATAATATAATTTATTCCTGTGATATCACATGATTCTTTAAAATATGCTGATTTGGTGCTAAAGAATCAATGTTGTGCTGCTTAATAGTTTTTGGAAAATTATTTCGATAAATAGAAAGTGCAAAATAACAGCATTTATTTGATGTCCAAATTCTTTGTAACATTTCTTTACTGTCACTTTTGATCAATTTCATGTGTCCTTGTGGAATAAAAGTATTATGTTTTTAAAATAAATAAATAAATAACCCTTACTGACCCCCAAACTTTTAAACAGTAGTGTATATAAATTGTACTATGTCTCATAAAATGCATACTGATATGTAATATAATTATCTGTAAAATTGTCATATTTGTACATTCTTAGTTTGCGTTATAGCTGTAAAGTAAAATCTGAAATTGTCTATATACCAACGTACCAAGTTCGAACTGGTCAGAGCTGTTACCGCAAGTCTGTCTGACCTCTTCACTGTCCCAGCCTAAAGGGTACAGGGCACATCCCGATCCGATCAGCAGCCCTGCAGAAAGATGAAACACACTGTGAATACAAATAGACCTAAAAGTACATTTTATAACATGACTAAACGCTCCCATAGTTTCACGCTGTGCGAGGAGAAGAGCATGATATCTCTTGAAAAATAAACGATAGCCATGAAAAACAGCACTTCACGCATTTTGTCATTGGCCTGAAAAGCTATTATTTGTTTTACTGCAAACAATGCAGGATCATTAACTTGTTTTTTTCCATTTGACACAGATACTCTATCACACGCACGCAAATGCAAACACACACCTCTGCAGAGACGATAAAGCACAAATCATGTTTTCATCTGGGCTCAAGATCCAAACAGCTATGAAAATATGCTAATAAATGCAGCAAGTAGCTATTTATAAATGAGCTTCTTGAGAATTCTTTCATATTTTTCCTTTTATGTTCTTACCAATTCAGCGAAAATAAACAGGCATGTAATTCCCACCAGAAACATATACAACTGTAGTTTCAATAATGCTCCTCCTCTCCTGTGAGCTCTAAATTCTTACCAGAACATTTCCTAATAAAAAAGAACTGCATGTGCCTTCATCTGCCCTGATGCTTTGCATTATGGTCACTAATGTCAGGCTCTTTTTTTCAGTGAATATTTTGTGATTATGAATTCTATATATTTATATATTTGAATTATTATTTATATAATATTTATATGAATATTATATAAGATTATTATTTATATTATACATAAAATAAAATAAAATAAAATACTGGTCAAAAGTTTGGAATAATTAGGATTAAAAAAAAAAAATTGAAAGTATCTTATGCTCACCAAAGCTGCATTTATTTGATCATACAGTGAACAGTAATATTGTGTAATATATTATAAAAATTTTAGTGCACATTCCTATGTGTATTATGTAATGCTTGGTTCTCTTTGTGTCTGGTTACAAATGATGGGTGTGTTATCATCTCAAGTTGTCTGTGTGCCGCGCAGTTGTTGTCTGAGATAATGAAAGGAAAGAGGACTGAACACAAAGAACACTCCCTCACTGCCGCACAAGCTAAAGCCCAGAAACAGTTTATTTTTGGAATGATGTGCTTTCATTTGTACTTGTGTCACGGACATTCTTTGATATATTAAAAAGCCTAGATTCTGGCATTAGTATCCCAATTCTGTAGGACTTACTCCTTGTCAGAAATTTCAATACTTCTCATTGCCTTTAAAATTCTTCAAATGCCTCCTGTTCCCTCCATCAATTCAAGCAGGCCTGAAAATCCATTACATTGAGTCAGACACTTACAAAAATGGCATTCTACTTCAGAGCTCAAAACTGCAAAGGAATAAAATAAAGGGAAGAGAAATAAGCTTTTACGTGCTTATACTTCTGTTTCTCAGAGGCAATCAGAGAAGTTATGAATGAGTAATCGATAAGTTGATATTGGGCTAGTTATTATGTGTATGTGAGAGTGTAAAAAGAATGCAGAATTATTCTGAAATTAACTTCAACAGATTGCAGCCATAGCCTACTTATTTCACCCTGGCGTGTGATCGAGCATGTGTGGTGAGGTTTGTAAAGTTGCGTCTGCGAGTACAGGAGTTCTCCTTGACCAAGACAAAAAAGGATCATTGCTGTACTGTGAAACAGGGAGGGCCTTTTGTCACTAAAAAAGTGAGGGAAAATTGACAGTGATAAAGTGAATAAGAGGCACATTCACACTCTGAAAAAAAGTAGCTCTATGGCTTACAACGGGCTTCTGGTAGAATGCAGCACTGCGCTTTCAAATTCATATTACCACTAGCATCAGGAAAGTTCTTAAACTGTTTGTAGCACATATTCAGAGTATACTAATTAAACTGCATGCTAGTCGAAGTGTGTACACTAAAATAAAAAATATGCTCTAGAAAACGACCATAATTTTCACTTTATAATATGTACTGCAAAACAGTATACCCTATAAAACTAGTATGGACTAGGTATAATTCAATACAAATAAATAGAATGAACTAGACGCTATGTATTACAATGTATTGTATTGTATATGTATTACAAACCAGGTACGCACTAAATGTATCATATACTAGGTAGATTGCACAACAAAACTAGTGTGCTGTGCATTGGCATTCACTACAAAAAAATGTACTACAGAACTAGCTTGAAAGACACTATGCATTACAAAACAAGTATGCACTAAATGTAGCATATACTAGGCCGAGCAAACAACCAAACTAGTATGCAATCGGTAGAATTCACTACAAAAATTTACTACACAACTACAGACTGCATTACAAACCAAGTGTGCACTAATGTAGTATATACTATGTAGAGTGCACAACAAAACTAGTATGTACTAGGTGGCCTACACTACAAAATACTGTGTCAAAGATAAAAGTTGATGATTAGGAGTTGAGCATGCGAGTAATGTATATTACTGGACCTGAACAAACAGATTGAGCAGCACTAGAGCTCAGAATATGAGGAAACCAAAAGGAATTTTGCTTTGACTCGGAAAAATTAACCTAGGGAACAAAGCAAAAAAAAAAAAATGCGGAAAGTTTGACTCGTTAGGTAATGATCTCACAAAATGTGTGTGTTTACATCATACATGTTTGAGTAACAGGACGAAAAGGGCATTGTGTGCACTGGACAAAGTCTCTTGTGTGCAGCTGCTACATATTTAGAGGAAAAGATGCATACATTTGAAATAGAGAAAAGTATGTGTGAGAGAGGCATAGGTGAACACAATTCAGCATAGTAGGCGCTATTTCTGAGCATTGTGTCTCTAAGGATTCTCATGTTGCTCATATACAGAGATCAAGCTCTAACCCGAAACCCATAATCCTGTTTTAAACCCTCATCTAAACACAGTTCTCTCCCTGCATGGAGAGTGGTAGGGTTTGAATTTTCAATCAGGCCACAAAAATTGTGATCAACTTCAATCTTCTCACGCACGTCATGGCAATGCCAATGATTGGGAGTCCAGAAACATTTTATTTGAGAAAAAAACTTTTAAGCTTTGAATTTAATAAATGAGAAGAATTTAAATATTTATTATAAATAAATATTTTTTTTTTATTTTTTAAATTCCAAACTTTTAAATATCTCACAATGGATGCATTGTTATTTTAATTTAGTAACTGATAATAATACTAATTCTACTACTACTACTACTACTACTACTAATAATAATAATAATTTTCTATTTAAAAAAAATAAAAATTCTAAACTTCCAATTTTAAAAATATACATTATTATTCATTTAGTATCTTTTAGTAGTAAAATAATTTAATAAAATATATATATATATTTTAATGAATAAGAATTTAATAAAAAATATTTAATAATAACAATAATAATAATAATAATAATTATTATAAATACACATTTAATAAAATAAATAGTAATTTAAATATGTAACAATATGAACTACATTAGCAATCTATAAATCAAACTAAGAATAAAATATACACAGAAAATTCACAGCATAAACTAATCTAAAAATAATTGGGAGACTTAAAAAGGGCGAGGGACTGCAACCCCTGATAGGGGAAAACAGTGGAATCTGTTGTGTTCTATTGGTGAACACACACAGCTGTAGTTATTGTGTAACACAGCAGATGGTCCACTGTCAACACTATACAGTGCTCACACATCCTGACAACACCTCAGGAAATGAGAGCGCCAAAACACGGTCTTCAGTGGAGACAGGACAGCTGAGACAACTGTCTTATCACTAAGAGCAACAGCTCTGATAGCTACTTACACAAGCTTCTTCTGTGAGTGCACAAATAGGGCCTTCATACTGTATTTTACCAGAAACAACAGAAACCACACTGTGAAGGAAGGGACAGTGGTGCAGTTGCAACCTTCAAGAGCTTGCATAATCTAAAAGGAATGACTTGAATTTACAATCCAAAAGATCTGTTGCCAGGGTTGAGTGGGTACTAGTCACTTATGGATTCAGTAAACATTCCAGCACACAACAATAAGATGTATATCTCTTATCCTGACAGCCGACAACAGTCTCAAAACATTCCACTTTCATCTCCACTGCAATCAGTCATCCCATTCCTTCGGTCTATTCAAGTCTTAAGTGAGAAGAAAGGATACCACATCATAGGAATATGGTAATTAGGGTCTGCAGATTTGTAGTTGCATGGCATTTTCTATCACCACATTAATTTTTCATGACCCTTCCTGAGTTTGGGCCACAAAGGTCAACAGAACCTGGAGAAAACAGGGAAAATCCCATTTCAAAAGTCCAATTCATGATTATAAGAACCTTATATAAATTATAATAATAATAATAATTATTATTATTATTATTATTAGGACTGGGTAAAAAATATCGATATCTCGATATTAATCGATTCTTAAATCCCAAGAATCGATTAGTCTAGCCTGTTTTCAGTTAATGGACGGAACATTGAAGGGCACTTTCCAGCCAATATATCACAATAAGCTTTGTGCTTTGGTACTTTTAATATGAAACAAAGTCTCAGATTTCAAATTCTGTCCATTGTATTTCAGTATTTAAACAATAAATGCCATTTAGGCGCTGTTTAATGTGGAGTGACAGATCGCTGTAGCGCCTCAGTTCAACAGATGCGGCAGCGCGAGGCGCACCTAAGCTGATCATCTCCTCCACATTAATACCAGCTTCAGCACAAAATAAACATGACTAAACATTCGAAGGTAAGTTAAAAGAAAAAGTACAACTTTACAATCCGTGTCCTGTCTCATGTAATCGTTCAATCAGTGTTTCAGCCGTGCAAAGACGTCAATATAACAGTTTGTAAACAATGTCACGTAACGTCACATTTACCTCAGAAAAACATATTCGGTGACCATAAACTCATTAGTCAGATAGAAAAATAAACTGTAGAGAGGGCATTTTGCTAAATATATGCACCATATAACATATGTATTATAAATGTTACTGTTCTTCAATGTTTAATTTATGTTTGAATAAATCCAAGTTTTTAATGACATGAATTGAAGTAGAAATATTATTATGTAATTGTAACTT